GAGGAGGAGGAGGACAACAACAGGAGGAGGAGGAGGAGAAACGGCAACTAGAGTAGAAACAGCTCGAGGAGGAGGGGAAGGAGGAGGAGGATGAGAGGGAGGAGGAGGGGGAGGAGGAGAAAATGGAGGAGGAGGAGGAGGAAGAAGGGGGCGAAAACAACAGGAGGAGGAACAGCAGCTAGAGGAGGAGCAGCTCGACGAGGAGGGGGGATGAGGAGGAGGAGGAGAGGGAGGAGAGGGAGGAGGAACAGGAGGAGGAGGAGGAAAAGGAGGAGGAGCAGGAGGAAGAGCAGGAGGAGGAAGAGGATGAGGAGGAAAACATCGACGACGACGACGACGACGTCGACGTCGACGACGAGGAGAGAGTCCTCCTCTGCGCCCGCCCCGCCACCCTTTCCGCGCCTCCACCAGGTCTGTTCGCAGGCCCTCAACGCAAAGAAGGCGCCGCCGCCTGACCGTGGGGCGGCGTCGGGAAGTGCGGCCTTAGACTTTCATTAACCCGGAACGGGCCCGAGGAGGATGGAGGTCATGCGTGCGGCGCGCGTCTGTTGCCACTCGCGGGCCACGAGGGGCCATAGAGGCCTCCTCGGGGATCTTCCAGATGCAACCCTGGGGCCCTTCGCGCGGAGACATCCTCAGGTTTAAACAGTTGCGACGCCTGAAGAGTTCAGGCACAAATCGCTCCGGAGCGTTCCAGCACGGCCACCGAAGCGCTTTGTGCGTCTTTTGGACCCGCCAGCTCTCAGAAATCATGTCGACTGTCGGCGACCACGCTGCCAGTGTTCAACGTAGAGCGCCGCCGGCGACCCAGAATCGGTCGACATTGAACGAACTGTCGATCGTTCAAGGTTGAGCATTCCCCGCGGTGTCAGGAACCATCGCTGGGGCCAGCACGACACGAACCGGCCGTACCTGCTTCGTGTTCATCCGAGTTTGTGTTTTCATGTTGCCTTCGTTTCAAGAGGAGAGCCTCGTTGGCGCGCGGAGGGGTTAAGGTGCAACTCTTGGGAGGTTAGCTTCAGCATCGGCGCTGCTATATCCGCGGATGAACATCACTTCCGTCCGGGATAATCCCGCTAGGTCCTGCTTCAGCCGGTTGGGGCCCAATCCGGGTTCACCCGGCTTGACGGTCTCCTGATTTGGCTCAATAGTTTTGGGTCGTTCTTACAAAGACCTCCCAGAAGTTGCCTTCGAAGATTGGCACCGCACAAACGTATATTTATACTATATGTGCATCGGCCGCGCAAGGGCGACTCGCACGCTCGGAAATCTTGTATGAGCTTCGCGGCGGGCGTTTTCCGGCCGTATCGCCTGGGACACTTGTAACTGATCCCGTGTCGAGGGTTCACAGCCCCCCCCCCGGACGGGCTGGGCCCCAGGGTTCCACATCCATCCCCCCCCCAGATGGGATGCGGGGGGGGCCGACGATAACGACGACGACCACGACGACCACGACGACCACGACGACCACGACGACGACGACGACCACGACGACGACGACGACGACGACGACGACGACGACGACGACGACGGCACCGCAGCACCACCCCACACGCACAGGGGGAGGGGTGGGTTGTATCCTTCGGTCTTGGCGCACGTTTTATTTCCAGCAGAAACCCCGCTGGGCTTCGCGGGGGCCCTCGGATCCTTCCTGGGCCTTCCCCGTTCCTTGCCGTCCTTCTCCCGTCCTCCCGAGGATCGAGGAAGAGGCTTAGGTTTACGCTTGAACGCCTGCCGCAACACCTCTGGTTGGGAGCGGCGCTGCGAGAAAAATGGTGGGCTTGCGTGCGTTGTGTGCCCTCTCCTCGTCTTCGTCGTCTCGTTGTCGATTGCTAACAGTATAGGCAATAGGCACACATAGCCACACAGCAATTTGGGCTGTTTGGTTCTACGTCCACTCTACCCCCAAATCCAAGGAGCGGGGGCCGGCGCCCCCCTTCACCGCGCCACGTCCCTCCACCTCGCAACGCCCACAAGGCCACGACCACAGGGGGGGGGCGCAATCCTGTTCGCGCGGCCGTTGCGAGGCTCACAGGCGTGCCCATCCAACGGGGTGGGGTTCGACCACCTAACCGCATGCTCCCGAACATACAGCATCCCCTCAATGAAGTCCTCGACGCTGGTTATTCCCTGCCACGTCACGTTTAGTCGGCGGTGGGGGGCGGCGTGGCCGAAGTGATTATCGACTGAGCCAGGACCCAATAGTAAGTGTAATCTTCTCACTATCGCTGGCAGCATTGTCGTTATCATAATTATTACGGTTATTCGTCTTACCCGTATCATTGTTATTATCAGAGTGATGGGGCCGAACGTTCTGACAGAGCCCCGTACATCCGTGCATCCGTACACGCCATGACGCCAGCCGTACATCCGTACACCGTAGGTTCGCATCTCTACGTGCGACCTGCCAGGAACAAAAATGCATTACCCCCCAGGATTCCGAAATTTCGGACCCACATGGTGTGATCATCAGAGGCACTCGGTTATGCATGTTTGGGGGGCCGCCCTGGATCACGTATTGTCACACTTGTGAATTACATGTTCGTGTCGGACGTGCGCCACCAAAATCACACAACTCTAGCACGTCCCCCTGCGCCCCATGCTGCGAGGTGCTGGAGGACCAGATGCTCAACGGCCGTCCCAGCGACGCCCCGCAGACGCCCTCGTCCGTTGGCAAGCTCGCGCAGCGGGCGCGCCCCTCGGCACCGCCTTGGCGGCCCCGCGGCGGCGGGGCCGTCGGGTGGAAGCCAGCGGCTCCAAACTTTTGGTGTGGTGACCACGCCGCGGTCAGTCGGTGGGGGTGCGGGGGCGTCGTGCGGCGTTGGGGGTCCGGTCGTTCTCCGCGAACGGTGCGGGCGGCCAGGGGCTCCGAGGCCCCAGATTCGTGTGGTGCCGGGCCACGCGGTGGTCACCACACGCTCGCCGCGCGGCTTGTCACCACACGGTTCTGAGACCGCAGGATGATGCATGCCTTGCTTCGAAGAGCCAGGGCGAGAGTTAAGCAGTGTTCTCCCTCTTCTCGGCGGTTTCGTCGTCCCTCGTTTTGTCTTCGTGCCGTTTTTTTTATTTGCAATATGGTACCAATACGAGAACGGCCCACGAAGTCCCCAAGGCCCAAGGCACGGTTCAAGTCGAGCATTAGGGAAATCGTTTAATGAGACCAGCACGTTCTCTCGGAGCTCCGCGCCTGTTTCTTGGATCGGCGTTGGGCCCCCCCTTGGCGGCGTCGCAGGCGGCGCCCCTGGCGCGCTCCGCGCGCCAGGCAGAGGAGGCCAGCATTGGTCCTACAAAAACCGTGCGGACCTCCAACAAAACAGCACGTGTATGCGTGCACGTGTTGTTCTTTTGTTTGCGTTCTCACTGTTTCGGTTGAACTGTCCTGATAAGAGGTCTGTGGCAACATGCAGTGGAATGGCGGAGCGGGTTAGCCGTCGAGCCGACGCTTTGGGATCGGCCTGAGCATACCCAGGAGTGGATCTGCTGAGCATGCCGTCGAAGGAGGAGGGGGAGGAGGAGGAGGAGGAGGAGGAGGAAGCGGTGAAGAGAGTGGAGAAGAATGAGGCCCTCTTGGGGGCCTTTACGGACCCCGTGGAGGCACTTTGAAGTGCATCGATAGAATAAGGGGGGGCATGATTAACCCCCTTTCGTGAGAGCCCCAAATATCGTATCTTAGGGCGCTCGTGGGACGCTTCTGCACGCTTCTTGGGGCCGTCCATGGTCGGTGCTTCGGCTTGGGGAGGTCCAGTCCTTAGAATAAGTGACGCAAACGGTTTGGAGGAGTCGCGCCCCGCGATCCCTTGAAACAGGGCGGGGGTTGGAAGAGGTTGACGACGGCGACGACGACGATGGCGGACGGCGAACGACGACGACGACGACGACGACGACGACGGCGGACGGCGGACGGCGGACGGCGGACGACGACGACGACAACGAGCACGATAACGACGACGACGATGACGACGACGGCGGCGTCGCCGCCGCCGCCGCCGTCAGCGTCGTCGCCGCCGCCGCTGACGTCGTCGCAACCGCCACCGCCAATCGCCGCCGCCGTAGTTGTCGCCGCCGTCGACGTCACCCTCGCCGCCGCCGCCGCAGTCGTCGTCGCGGTTGCTGTCGTTGTCTTCGTCGTTGTCGTAGTCGTCGTTGTTTGGTAGTCGCTTGTCGTCGTTCGTCGTCACGCCGTCCTCGTCGTCGTCGTCGTAATGGACGTCGTACTCGTCATGCTCGACGTCGAGTCGTCGCTGTCGTCGTCCGCCGTCGAGTCGTAGTCGTCGCCCACTCGTCGTCGTCGTCGTCGTCGTCATCGTCGTCGCACTCGTCGTGCTCGACGTCGAGTCGTCGCCGTCGTCGTCCGCCGTCGAGTCGTAGTCGTCGCACACTCGTCGTCGTCGTCGTCGTCGCGCGTCGTCGCCGCAGTCGCCGTCGCGTCATCGTCGTCGTCGCCGTCGCCGTCGCCGCCGCCCTCGTCGTCGTCGTCGTTGTTCTCGTCGTCGTCGTCGTTCGCCGTCCGCCGTCGTCGTCGTCGCCGTCGTCAACCTCTTTGTGTAAGCAGCATGGCGACGACCGGGGCCTCCCTTCTTCTGCTCGACCCCCCTTTCGAAGGCAGGAGTGCCCCAGCACATGAGGAAAGGATGGGAGAAGAAGGCAGTGATGAGGAGATGGAGCAGCAACAGCAGGAGCAGAAGGCGCAGTAGCAGGGCGATGGATGGAGCAGAGGAGGAGGATGAGCGCGGCATATGATGATGAGGTAGCGTAGGCAGCGCGTGAGAGGGAGGACCAGCGTAAGCGACACGGACGTGTAGAGCTGCCCCACCGGTTTGTTGGCAGTCTTGTTCACGTGCGCACGACGTTCCACGCCATACCTTTGATATCCCACTCCCTTTCACGCAAACCTCTGGGCGATATCCCACTCCCTTTCACGCAAACCTCTGGGCCAAGGTTTACAGCATCTACCAGGAGGCGAGCGCTGCTGCTGGCATCGTGGCGAGGTCCAAGGAGGAGCGTCCGACCTCGGCCTCTCCGACGCCCCCCGTGCGCGCGCCGCTTTGCCGATGCCGTTTTCTCCCCCCCCCCCCAGCTCGAGCTCGTCTGACCCTAGAGACCACGCGCGCAGCGGCAAACCACGACCAGGGCTCCCGACCCCGTCCACATGCCTGACACCTCCAGCCGTGGCAGTCCACGAGTTGACTTACAAGCTACCAATCTATCTGTGTATGATGTACATTCGAATATATCTGGACTGTGCTCGATCGCCCGTATGTGTGTATATATATATATATACACATGCCCGAACAATAATATTGAATATCGGTCGAATGTATAAGCATATATACGCATGTCTAGAACAACATAACTCTATTTTTATACATGAAGATGCACCCACATAGATCCACATACACAGAGAGAGAGATAGAGCAACAAACATTACTCACTGCGTGGAGCTCCCCATATGTGCATCTCATGTTTTATGCCATGCCATAGTGAGCGTCTGTTCATGAGCGCACTGACGAGCAAACCGCATGAGACATCCCAAAATGGCCGCGAACGGGCCCGTGTCCTACCCCCTGGCGGCTCTCCTTAGGGATGCTCGTTGGGCATGAAAACGAGCAAACCGCCTAAGACATCCCCACAAACTGGCCGCGAACGGGCCCGTGTCCTACCCCCTGGCGGCTCCTTCGAGGGGTGCTGGACCCAGCGCCCCGCCTGAGTCATCTTCAAAATCTGCTCTGACAGCCAAGGATGTTGGGCATGAAGACGAGCAAACCGCCTGAGACATCCCCACAAACTGGCCGCGAACGGGCCTCTGAAAACACCCCTGGCGGCTCCCCTTAGGGGTGCTGAAACCAGCGCCCCGCCTGAGACATCCTCACAATCTGATCTGAAAGCCAAGGATGTCGGGCATGAAAACGAGCAAACCGCCTGAGACATCCCCACAAACTGGCCGCGAACGGGCCCGTGATAACATCACTGGCGGCTCCTTTTAGGGGTGCTGGAACCAGCGCCCCGCCTGAGACATCCTCACACTCTGATCTGAAAGCAAAGGATGTTGGGCATGAGTACGAACAGACCGCCTGAGACATCCCCACAAACTGGCTTCGAACGGGCCCGTGATAACACCCCTGGCTGCTCCCCTTAGGAGTGCTGAAACCAGCGCCCCGCCTGAGACATCCTCACAATCTGCTCTGAAGGGGTGCTGAAACCAGCGCCCCGCCTGAGACATCCTCACAATATGCTCTTAAAGCAAAGGATGTTGGGCATGAGAACGAGCAAACCGCCTGAGACATCCCCACAAACTGGCCGCCAACGGGCCCGTGATATACCCCCTGTCGGCTCCCTTCAGGGGTGCTGAAACCAGCGGCCCGCCTGAGACATCCTCACAATCTGCTCTGAAAGCCAAGGATTTTGGGCATGAGAACGAGCAAACCGCCTGAGACATTCCCACACATTGGCAGCGAACCGGCCCGTGATATACCCTCTTGCGTCCCCCCTTCGGGGTGCTGAAACCAGCGCCCCGCCTGAGACATCCTCACAATCTGCTTTGAAGGGGTGCTGAAACCAGCGCCCCGCCTGAGACGTCCTCACAATCTGCTTTGACAGCCAAAGATGTTGGGCATGAAGACGAGCAAACCGCTTGAGACATCCCCACAAACTGGCTACGAGCGGGCCCGTGATATACCCCCTGGCGGCTCCCCTTAGGAGTGCTGAAACCAGCGCCCCGCCTGAGACATCCTCACAATCTGCTCTGAAGGGGTGCTGGAACCAGCGCCCCGCCTGAGACATCCTCACAATCTGCTCTGAAAGCCAAGGATTCTGGGCATGAGAACGAGCCAACCGCCTGAGACATCCCCACAAACTGTCCGCGAATGGGCCCGTGAAATACCCCCTGGCTGCTCCCCTTGGGGGTGCTGAAACCAGCGCCCCGCCTGAGACATCCTCACAATCTGCTCTGAAAACACAGGATTCTGGGCATGAGCACCAGCAAACCGCCTGAGACATCCCCACACATTGGCGGCGAGCGGGCCCGTGATATAACCCCTGGCGGCTCCCCTTAGGAGTGCAAAAACCAGCGCCCCGCCTGAGACATCCTCAAAATCTGAGTAAGTCTGAGTATGAGTAGGCCTGAGTATGAGTAGGTCTGAGTATGAGAAAGTCTGTGCATGAGTATATCTGTGCATGAGTACGTCTGGATATGAGTAAATATGGGTATGAGTATGTCTGTGTATGAGTAAGTCTGTGTATGGGTACGCCTGGGTATGAGTAAGTCTGAGTATGAGTAGGTCTGAGTATGAGTATGTCTGAGTATGAGTATGTCTGAGTATGAGTAAGTCTGGGTCTGAGTAAGTCTGAGCATGAGTAAGTCCGAGAGGAGGGGAGGAGGAGAAGTGGGAGTAGGAGGCGTCCAAGTAATAACAAGAACCCCATCTTAGGATATGGGGAAACACGTGTACCATCGCAATATTTGTCCTGACAAGTTGCGCCTCGTCGAGCAAGTTTTGGTCTCATGGCGCGCCGTTGGCGCTCGCGCGCATCCGATGAGCAGGTTGCATTGTCGAGACCCCGAAGCAAGTATCGGGGGCAAATGATTTTGTGCTACGGTCTCACGAGAGGAGGCGAGCAGCTGAAACACATTGCAACCAGCATCAGCCAACTTAGAACGCATGTTCTTCGAATTGTTGTTGGGTGAGCTTTGTCGTATCCGGTTGGGCGGGTACCGTGGAACCGTGGAGGTTGAATTGGCATTTGAAATTGAGAGCAAGCCTCGGGCTGGCACGGTATATCAATCTCGTAGGGCTAGCGATCGCCAAGAGACTCGCTTCGTACAGAGTGCGTAGGAAGCTTGTGGAACTCATAGGGTTGCTGAAGATGATAGAGCCCGTTGGGGTCGAATGGCGGTGAAAATGCGAATCATGAAACGGAAATGAAACCCTAGAATTGTTGAGGGCAGACAAGGGCATGTTATGCGAGAGAGCAAATACGTCGTGATCGAAGGGAAAATGGTTCCCGCGGTCGCAGGTTGAACGTGGAAATGATTCCCTCATTGCTGTGGCACCGGCAGGCCTTGCCAGAGGGTGGGGGGTCTTCCGAAGCTACCTCCCCCCTGATGAAAGAGAGGGTAAGTAAGCCGACGCTCCCTTTTCGGAAGTGCCCTCCTTTTCGACTCCTTCCCTGCGACCTGCGCCAAATTTCTTTGTCGTCGCCACCGTCGTCGTCGTCGTCGTCGTCGTCGCCGCCATCGTTGTCGGCATCGTCGTAGTCTTCGTAGTCGTCTGCATCGCCGTTGTCCTCGTCGTCTAGCCGTCGTTGGAGAACCAACCCTAAAGAGCTTTCTCCATGCGCCTGCCGACGTCGAAAGACCCGCCGGTATCCTAGGTCCTGGGGCTCGAAGAGCTCACGCCTCTGATGGCTCGTGCGACTCATGGGGGTCATAAAGCTCACAGGACTCGAAAGGCCCATATGGAGTTCATACGGTGCTTGGGGGCCCAAGGGTTTCGTCCGCGTCATTGGGTTCGTGCGGTGCATATGTCTCAGCGGAGTGGTAGGGCTCATTGAGCTCACACGGATCAGGCATACATTGTCATAGGGCTCTCGGGGCCACAAGACGCGTAGGGCTCGCAGGGCTTCTCGTATCATGATATCGAGAACGCCGGCGGCGCATCACCAGCCGTTCCCTGGGAGTTTGACGCATTTGGTCAGTACTCTCGTGGAAGCAGTTTTGAAGCCTCTTTGGGGGCTCTTGGGCGCCGTTCAGGAGCCTTCTGGGGGCCTTTTGGCGCTCTTGGGAGCTTGTTGGACGCCTGCTGGCGGTCTGGGAGGTCCCGTTTGGACAGAAACATGGAAATCGAATTTCGAGTTCTGGCTCTAGAGCCCTCTTGGGGCCGTCATGAGCCGTCTCTGGCGCGTCTTGGGCCGTCTTGGGCCGTCTTGGCACGTCTTGAGGCCCTCGTCGGGGTCTCTGGGGCGATTTGGGGGCGATCTTGGGGACCCCTATCGGGTCTCTTGGGAGCCTTCTGGGACCTGTTGGGGGCTTCTGTGGGGCGTGCTGGCGGTCTCGGAGGTGCCTTTGGGCCAGCCGCTTGAAATATACGTAGCGCCCCGCAATTGCGGATAAGAGTGATGGGGCGGGCGCGGGCGACGCGGGCATCGTCGAGCCGGCGGACCTCGTGGCCCCCACCTTCCCTGTCGATGGCGCTCTCCTCCTCCTCCTCCTCCTCCTCCTCCTCCTCCTCCTCCTCTTCCTCGTCCTCGTCGTCGTCCTCATCGTCATCGTCATCGTCATCCTCCTCCTCCACCTCGTCCTCCTCCTCCTCCTCTTCCTCGTCCTCCCTCTCCCCCCCTCGTCCTTCCATCATCGTCCTCCCATTGTCGTCCTCCCCCTCATCGGCCTCCATCATCGTCCTCCCATTGTCGTCCATCATCATCCTCCTCCCCCTCCTCCCCCTCCTTCCCCTCCTCGTCTCCTCCTCCCCCTCCTCCCCCTCCCCCTCCTCGTCCTCCTCCTCCTCTTTCTCCACATTATCCTTACATCATCTCTTTTTCCGCGTCCTCCTCGTCCCCTTTTTACTCCTCCTGCCTCCCCCTCCTTTTCCAAGATGACAACGCAATCCTTGTTTCCACTTTATGCTCCCCGACTTCTCTGATCAAGGGCTGGTGTGGATGCGCGGGACTTGAAGAGGTCGTTGCGGGCTCAGACGGCATGCAAAAATCCGCCGCCGCGCTTGCGCGGCATTTGTTTGTTCAGTGAACGTGTTTTGGGTCGCGGGTGGGTCGCGGGTTCTCCACCTCCACCTGGAAGGAATGCAAAAGCAGCCCGCCGCAGGCGCCGAAAACATTGGTTTGTACACTGAACGCGGTTTGGGTCGCGGGTGGGCCGCGGTTTCTCCACCGGGAACGAATGCAAAAGATGCCCGCAGCAGGCGCCGAACAAAATTATGTGTACCCTGAACGTGGTCGCGGGTGGGCCGCGGGCTCCCCACCTGGAAGGGGTGCAAGAAAAGCCCGC